TCTGTTACGAAGGTTTGGCTAACAAAAGTGGATATTGAGAGATCAATAGAACCTTAATATTAGTTAAAATGAAGTATTTGTTGGTTCTTTGTTGAGTATATTTTTTGTTCAGATCTTTTATATTTTTTGTTATAGCATTCTGGATTATTGCTTCAACTTCACTATGACTCAGCTTGTCATCATGTTCAACATAATTGATGCTTAGCGCCGCAAATCCATTCACAATGCTGTCGATGTCAACATCTGATTTGCCTGATTGTAGAGTTTCTTCTGATATAATTGTATCCTTTTGTTGGTTAATATCCTTGTCCCTTCTATAATCCTCCATTCCTAACGCCTTCTTTTTGGCTTTATCATAGTTTTTAGAACAACAATTCTTCACCTTCGTTTGATATAGTTCTTTTATTCCATGTATGTACCAATCACGCTTCTCATCGTTTCTCAGTTGATTCTTCACAGTTTCAGCATAGGCTTCATAACGGTTAGTGTATTCCCTTACTAACTCTTTATTATCTTGTTTTAGGTGCTTCAATCAATTGATCTTTGCTTCAGTTTCATTTTCGGCCTTGATCTTATCAACGATGGTCTTTTTCAGATCTGTCCAAGTCTTCTTGGTTTGTATTAGGTCCCTAACCCACGTTCTTATGCTTTCCAGCATGTGCATATGCACTATTAGACATAGGGTGTTGTTATTGTATTTCTTGGCTTTTTCATAACCTTCGAAGTCAAAGAGAAAGTTCTCTATGTCGTCAACTTCAGCACCACGATATATAGATATGGTTTGATCTTTACTTCCTATTGTTCATTATTTCTTTTCTCCGCCCTATACTAACTTCTTTGTTTCTTTAACGCCAACACCTGTACCTTATTAATTTTGTTTCTCACGATAATACCACTGTCGTTCATTATGATTTTAATCAACCCTGATTTACCGCTTTTGGTCTTACAGCTTTTGTCTCACGGCTTTTGTTGCTGCAACAACTCCAATAAGAGAAGACTTTTGTCTTGCCCAGGTTCTTCCGTGTCGTAGGATTAATTAAAGCATATATTACTTTAAATTCTTGCTCAAATGTTTTGTTTTATTTTATTACACACTCGCTGCTTTACTTCATTCGTTCTAGTTTCCACTCCTTACCCCTTCACTTAGCAATGGCTTTTACCTTCCAATCTCTAAGGCACCACCACGTTACAAGTCAGGCTTTTTGGTATTTATCTAAGAACAATAGAAGTTGAGATTCGATTGCCAGATCGAACCTCATATTTATTCAATTATCATGTGCGCTTACATCATCGATTTTCCATTAACTAAAATTAATATTACTAATAGACTATTTAACAGCAATAGACTCTTATATAGCCTCATTGACTAACAACCTTATTACTAATCATTACGTCGATCGTCTCCATTATCGTTGGCGGTCCCACGGGACCCCGAGATCACATGCATCCAATTAAATTCACGTCACCATTTTTCGAAATGATAAGCCTTCTAAGTTTTTTTTTTCAATTATTTGCCAGCGAAGTTGCTTTGAAAATATTTAACCAGGGTGATTCGTATCGGCACGTAGTATTATATTTACAAGTCACTTGATCTTAGATTACGTACGTACGTATGCGATATAAATTTATTCTATTATGCCGAAATCACAAACTTAACTGGATCAGCCGAAAAATCATTCGGCTAATTTTTATTAGGT